TAGTTATTTGTCGTCAAAAAGTGGAGTTTGGGGGTCGGGCTGGGTTCTATTGGAATTAATCCCATATGTTCTGTTGTTCACTTAACGCGGATTTCACTTAACGCGGGACCCTCTGGGTTCAATTGACCGCGTTAAGTGGGGTACAACTGTATATACATATATATATATATATATATATATATATATATATATATATATATATATATATATATATATATATATATATATATATATATATATATATATATATATATATATATATATATATATATATAAAAGCTTTGTTTACTTCATTTCAGTTGATCTTAGAGTCTTCAGTGGAAAGTCTGGTTGATCTCGTAACCCATGAGCTCCGACCTGTTAATTTGCTGCCCTCCAACATGCGGGAGACACAACCCTTCCTGGTGAGTCTTGGCCCTGACCATTCTTTGATTTTGTTGGAAAAAAGTTAGTGGGCTTCAATTGTGGTAATGAGATATAGTATTGAAAGGGTTGATATTAATTATACACTACTTAAAATTCAGGGGGTCCCCTAAATTCGTAGATTTTTATTTTGCAGTCCTATAAAATTTGCGGATGACACTCTGGTTGTAACTTAGAATGTTTGTGGGTAGTTTTAATGTTGCCATAATTTTCGTTCTAGAGACACTTATTTCCTTTATCTGTATTGTACATTCTATATGTGTGTGTTTGTAGACACATAAATAAATTATAATGGGAAATACTCTCACAAATATGGTAATCAGAAACAAATTTATTGAAAATGTGAGTCTACCTTCAAGTCTGTGCTTTATTACTTTATTAATAAAGCAGAAAGATCACAGATTGCATATTTCCTGGTGTCATGTGCCAAAAATTTCTTGCCAGGGTCTGTTTCACCCACTAACTGAGAAAAATATTTTGTCATTTGACTAGGAAACAATTCCTTACCATCCTGTGATGAGAATACATAGGGGCCTCGATTAGGGAATCTGGTTAACCATTCTTGAAGAATCTTAGCTGGGCACAATATACAGTATGAGGAACCCTTGTTTCCTCCATTAGCAGTTTTATCCTGATAGGTTGAGCTTGAAAATCCTCCCTTTCATTTTTTCTTAGGATCTCCATAGGGAAAAGGGCGACATCTTCCTCAGAAAATACCAATAATGATGGATTATTGGAAATTGAAATCAGTTCACTGATTCTCGTACCTGTTGTTATTGCTAGAAGAAAGGCTGCCTTCTGGAGCAATCTGTCCCGGTTCAGATTTATATTGTAATTAGGCCTAATAAGAAATTTAGTAACTTTATCTAGAGACCAAGGTGGGATTCTCTTAGGCCGAGGGGGTCTCTGAATGAAAAAGGACGATCTGAGCATTTGATAAATTCTTGGGTTCAAAGTATAATATTAAAACCCCATTCCAGAGGGTCAACCAATGCTGATTTATAAGATGCAATTGTCGATCCTTAAAAACCTTTTAACTCTGAACAGAAAATCTAAAAATTCTAACACCATTGTTTCCGACAATATGATTGGAGTTGTTAACCTGATAATTCATTGTAGATAGATGTTTTGCTGCTGCTATACATTGGATTCCAATTTTTCCTGTACAACTCATTTATGGAAATATTGTTGAAAGCCCTAAAACTAAAAGCCCAGCTAAGGAAGCAAGCCACTAATAATGCTTTAAGTGGTTAGTGCTTATTTACTGCTACGTTCTTCCCCTTTTCCTCCTGCTTTGTTTGAGGAATAAGCATTAGTTAAGTATAGATCCGCTGTTGAGCAAGCTATTCATATTACTGTTCCCTGGAGTCGTCAGACCTTTTGGAAATTTAAAAGAGGAAGGTCTAACGGGGGAACTTTAGAGGAGGAAACAATCCAAGACGTAGTAGGAGTGGCCGTTTGTTCAGAAGTGGAAGGAGACTTTATTCCACCACGTCAGTGACCATTCCCTCCCAATTAAGCCAGACAGCTGGGTTGTCTTGGGAGTTGGGAAAACAGGTGGACTTCTTCCATATGGGTGTACAAGACAAGCAAAGGGGGCTTCACATGGACTTGGTTGAGACGCCCTCCGCTAGTGTTACCAAAATAAAAAAAGAAAGTATAAGGAAATAATGGTTAAAAAATATATAAAAATAAAATCAACAAACTGGTTATCCTTAAAGGCTTTCTATTACCGCCCCAAAGAAAGATTTCATTTATTTTTCTGTCTTTCTAAAGGACTGAGTGGGTGTATTAAATCCGTTATTCATAGCAAAATGCAGTGTACATAGAGATAGCACATAAATATTGACAAACTGCTGAAGTGAACTGAAAAAAAAACAGAAAAAAAACAGAAGACACCCTAAAGGCAACAGGGAAGGTTAAAACCAGCAGAGGGCAGCTAAGTATACTGTTTTTCTTTAATTTATTTTTAAATAGGTGTAGATCTATACACAGTCTGCACCCCCCTCCGCCCCACCTTCACAACAACAACAACCATGAGTATGACATGTGATTACTGTTGGGGGATATTGGATATGGATGATACAGGCCTGACCAATGCAACGTTTAGGACGATGCAAGCTGCCGTAAAGCATGAAGGCTGTTGCTGGTATTGCCCTGACTGCGTAGTCAAGGTGAAAGAGGCGATTGCAAGCCATACGGGAACGAGTTCCCTAGGGACGAAAATAGATGAAGCTGGAGCCTTGCTGGTTGTCAAATTAGAGCAAGTTGGGAAAGAGATCCTTGCTAAGACTGAGAAAGTAGCCGATAGAATGGATGTGGTTGCTAAGAGGAATTCTGCTGAGGCATTAGCAGGGCCATGGGAGGTGGCACAGAGTAATGCAGGATCAGAACAGGTTCTCCAGCAGCTAGAGTCTCTGAAGAAGTGTGTCGAAGAAATAAAACTTAATTGACCTACTGTTATGGGAGAGGAGGAACAACTGGAACGTTTCCAGCGCAGGAACAATGTAATAGGTTTTGGTGTCCCTGAGAGCCAAGCGGAGGAACTGAGACAAAGATAACACATGATAAGATGCAGTTTAATAATATTTGTACAGAGGTTCTGAAGATGCCATCAACCCCTCAGGATGAAGAGGCTGGGAAAAAAGTAGGGGTATAAGCCTCGCCCCCTCAGGATCACACTAGTGAGTGAGGAGGAGAAATGGGAGGTTATTTGGCAGGCAAAAAACTTAGCAAGGAGTGAGGCATCTCGAAGTGTATTCATTCACCCAGATCGCATGGTAATGCAGAGGGAACAGCACAAGAAGCTCCTACAGGGCTTGAAGCAGAGAAGGGAAGAGTCGAGGAGGAACGGGGACGGGTGTACATGGGTTATATTCAGGGAGAGGGTACTGGAAGCAAGTGTGCCGACACAGGGCCAGGGGGCAGCAGTGCACTCTCCACCTGCGCTACTCCCCACATGGGAGGTGGCACCAGCTCCGCCTGCCAGCCGGGAGGAGGAGAGCGCAGTATAAACAATGGCATTTCTAACCACACCCTGTAAATTACAGTTTACTTAGAAAATGTTGCAGCTTCTGAGAATGGAGGGGGGCCGGAGTTACTATTAAGAGCAGAGATGTAAACGAGAACAAATTCTGGCTTGAATGTCATGTACACTAATACTGACACGTTCCTTGATCAGAGAGAGGAGTTTGAAGCACTACTAAAGGTACACTAACCAGATATTGTAAGAGTTGTAGAACTGTTGTACAAGAACTGGAGAATCAACCCAAAGGAATGTGAGTTTAGTATTGCTGGATACGACTCATTTACGAACCTTTCTCAAGAAACTTGCAAGAGGGGTGTGGTTATCTATGCTAAGCAAGACCTTAGAGTCAGCCAGGCGAGGGTACAGGGAGAGGATGTTTTTGAAGAGTCCAAGTGGTGTAAAATTAAATTAAAGGGAGGGGACTTACTTATCTTCGGGTGTATCTACTGATCCCCAAACTGTGGCCCACTAAATCAAAGGAACTTAATAGACAATGCAGAGACTTTATCTATGGCGACATCGACTGGAGAAACGAGTTCACCCCAAATGACTTGAATAACCCTGCTACTCATTTTGTGGAAACTCTGATAGATAATTTTCTGTTCCAACATGTTAGAGACCCGACACATTACAGAGGGTAGCAAACACACAAGCCACTAGACCTCATCATAACAAACGAGGATGGTATAGTGGCCAAACTGGAACACATTGCCCCAGTTGGCACCAGTCACCATATAGTGTTGTCATTCAGATTTAACTGTTACCTAGTTCAGGATAAGGCCAGGCCAAGGTGCAAATATTGCAAGGGAAATTACAATGGGATGAGGGAAGAGATGAGTGGTATCAACTGGCCTGACTCATTAAGGTACAAGAACGCAGACACTACGCTGAATATCATAACTAGTAAAGTGACCCATTTGATTGATAAATATATACCCAAGACCAAACCCAGTGCTTCTAGGAATACGAAGGGATCCCTACACGTGAACCATGCGGTTGTCAACAAAATTAAGAAGAAAACCCAGAAATTCAAGACTTGGGTTGGGTCAAACGATGAGCAAGAGAGGAGGATGTATGCAAGAGCCAGAAACCAAGCAAAGATAGAGTGTAGATGGGCTGAAAAGGAGTTCCAGATGCTGGTTGCAAGCGAGGTCAAGTCAAGCCCAAAGGCATTTTACCGCTATGCAAAGTAAAAATTAAAAATGCGATTCGGAGTATCAGACTTGTGGCTTGAAGGTGGTAGTTACGCAGATTTTGACCAGGATAAAGCTGAGGCATTGAACAGCTTCTGTAAGTGCCTTCCGGTCTTTTAAAGGTTAATCAGACTCTTTATGTTAAATTCAAACGTTATAATTCTGTCAAACCTGTTGATTACAATTCATTTTAGTATTTCAAATAAGTCATACATAGGCACTCATAATTTGCCACCCAAATGACCTGGGTGAATATAACTTACATTGGTGGGATTCTTGTAAGATAGTAATTTATTTGAATACCTGTATAAACAAGCTATATTTGCAATAGACATAACAATTTTAGTACCGTAATCATTTAGTACATGTACAATACAGGTTTGCACTTAGGTCCATTGTTACTGTACAATATTGACTAAATTCACTAGATAACGTACGCCTGGTCGCACAATCTATAAGAATACGCGATGCATACGTGACTGTGCCCGCTCTAGGTCCATTTCGGTTCGCTAGGTCCCATTATTTGAATGGGTTTTTTTTTTCAATTTAAATTTTAATTGTTTATTCCTTGATAGAGGAAGCGGGATCCTAGTGCTGTCACTTGGTACCCCTGTACCGTAACACCAGAAGCCACTGGCCAGTGTCACAATTATATTCAGTACAGTACAGTCATCCCTTGGTTATCGCGCCTAATTGGGACCCCGCCGATAACGAAATTACAGAACCTTTGGGATTTATTCTAATTGGTTAAGGCACCCAAGACCCAACCCCAAGTTTCCCATTTTACGACCATTTAGACCCACTAAATATATATATAATGTTATGGTAAATATCATAAACACACACAGGCATGGCTAGGTTTATTACAAAGTGATGAAAAGGGTACGCTTAATACTGTAGTCCACAAAACATGTAGCTATGCTTTTTTTTATTTGGTCCCCCGTCATACGAGTCCGTTTTCTCTCACATCAGGACGCCCGAGTCCTCCGTTTTCTCTCTTAATCTTAGAGTGCACCAGAAACTTTACTATTTTTAGTAATGCCACAGAATTTGAAATTGCAACCCCAATTGCAACTGGGGTTGCAATTGTTGAGGCAACTAGATATGTCTGATTACAGCAAATGTGTTATTGTCAATTTGTAGGTGAAAGATTTTATCCTCAATAGATGTAGGTTAACATTTCACCTGTAGGCAAATGCTTAAAAAAAGCCTAAGTAAGGAAGCATATTCTTTTAACACATAATATCTGACCAGTATGGGGAGGATCATCGTGTCTCCGTCAGGGGGTCGTGGAGTGCTGGTCCAGCAGGCGTCACTTTTTTGGGGGGGGGCCATGGACGTATATGCGATCGGACGTTGTTCGGTTGGACGTTAACCGGCGCATGACTGTATATATATATATATATATATATATAATATATATATATATATATATATATATATATATATATATATATATATATATATATATATATATATATATATATATATTATCTATATCTATATCTATATCTATATCTATATCTATATCTATATCTATCTATATATATCTATATATGCCCAGTTGTATTTAAGTAAGAAATGGTATTTTGACTTACTCATGTAATTTACATTTAAAAAATACCATCAAACCTTTTGGCCTTATATGGGTGTTTAAAACCCCTAGCTTTTGCTCCATAAACATTGCTTTTTAATTCAGTATTATTATTGTTTCTTTGTGCAGGACTCCCATACACGGGTAACAGAAGCTCTTCAGGTTGTGGCCGAATGGGAAACTGCTGTTGCTCAATGTGCAAAGACAGTTTTTGTGTCAGGTATGAAAAATCTTTCTGTACAGTATTTTGTGTAGATGTCACTAGAGTTAGGTGTCTCACTTATGTTAATACCAGAGTAAGTTTATCTGCTTTTCTTTAGTTTCAGTGATGATGATGATGATGATAAAAAAGATAGATATTTTCACATATGAAAAGATTTACTGGAATTATACTATACTGTACAATATCTTTTTGTATAGGTGTAGGGTTTGTATGTAGGCGTGACTGAAGCAGTCTGGGCTAAGTCCCGGCAGAGTGTGAAGCGGGAACGGCGTGACTCCGCATGTGCATGACTTGAGTGTCGAGCGCTTGGGGTGATTAGAAGCTACGCTGTCTGTAAGGACATCTCGTTATTAAAGGCAAGATAACTCTCCACACTATTATTGGGCCTCCTACATGGTGTAGTGAACTTGTTACAGACCTATGAGTGCCAGTAATGTCGCGACGTGGATGCAGCATCTCATTCTCGCCTACCAGCATTCAGCAAGGTTGTTAGCATCCTGGCTGATGCAGAGGCTGCTCTTAGCCTCACTCCACCCCTGTCGCAGCCGCAGCCCGCGCTGTGGACGTCCTTGCCATACCTTCCGGCGAGCGAGGTGCAACAAGGGCCTGTGTTGCCCAACCCACAGGCAGCTTCAGCACAGCAGGTGCCAGCTCAAGCTGCAATGCCCAACCATTCCATGCTGGTGAGATTGTTCAGAGCTATGTCTGAGGCTGCGGGGCATGGTACAAGCATCAAGATGCCCGCTTCGGCTGCCCCGGCCAAGTGTGTAGTAGGTCTGACTATTTCGTTCAGATTGTGGAAAAGATCTGTCACCACGTGGATAAAATTGAACAGGTGGTCAGATAGCGAGGTCGTGCGCTGCGTGCATCTGTTGTGCTTGGAGTACCTGCAGCGAATTGTGGATGCCAAGTTTAGTGAGGCCAGATGGGCGAGGGCTAGGACATGTGGTTTACTGTAATTCTGGTATCAAATTATGGAAAAGAATGGAGGTAAATACTGCAGGAAAATGATACTTCTAACATATAAATAAAATGGTTTATTAAAATGAAGTTATATTTTAAGAATATAACTTAGGTACATTCTCCACTTACACCATTCCTGGGTGTACATTTACAAGAACACACAACATTATACTCTTACATATAGCACCTTTGAGCACCATTAATACCAGTTACCTTAGAACTGTAGTTCTCAATCGTACAGGACTCAGTAACAGCACCAAAACTAATACATTAAAAACACAGGATTAGTAGCTTCTGTGTGCCACTGTGATACATTTGCCAAGGAGCAAATTGGTGGACTCCAAACACTCATACAACGTTGGCAGTTACCTACAGGGCTACTCGGATGAATAACCCTGCCAAAATATAGTTCCACTGAGTGGTGGACTCGTACAAACAGTGCTGGGCGCTGGCCGGGTTTGCTGTCATGGGAGAGTGCCAGGACGGACAGTGAACACAGTCTAGCGTGTGTTTGGGCAGGTTGACTGGGCCTCAGGGTAGATGGTTAGTTCCCCACGCCCGTGTTCACGAAGTTACCCGAGTTTACTGGCTTTCATCCATCTCCCAAACTAGTGTGGAGGTCGTCCCAGGCCACAAGATCCTTGGCCTACAGGAGTCTGTGGACGGAGTGGCTTCATACGCTAGACTGAGGTCGAGCGTGTCGCTTCCCTCATTCCACGCTCACCCCTGAGTTCCACTCACGTAGATAATATCAACTAACTTTGACGTGTGAAAATGAGACTATGAACTTATTTTAATTTCCTAAGATCAACTTTTCAAACTATGCTCTGACTGAGCTTTCACAGACAAGAATTAAATTGATTTGAAGTTCAGGATGGCAATACATTGTGAGCGGGGCGTCGGACAAGGAATATTCGGTTACACCTGTTAGATCCTCAAAGGTAAGTGGCATGACATTTCCTTGCCTTTCAGAATAATTAATTATTTTTGTAAATAACAGCCTTATAACTATTTCACCATGAACATCAGATTCTCTGATGTTCATAGATGAAAGAGAAGTAACTTCAGCCTTGAACTACTAGTGCCTAAACTCACAAGAGACAATAAACTCCTTACCACTGTTGTAGGTGTCCTCAAAATATATTATCTTAACCCTATGTACTACATGCCTAGAGCTATATGACACTTGAGCTATATGACACTTGAATGCTTTATCTCACTGTAGGTGTATCTGACTTATGGCTACTCCTACGCTTTATCTCTTAAATTTAAATTTACTTTGTAGGGAGGCTGGCTACAGGATGCCACAGAAAATGGGCGGCACCTAAGCGAGGGAAAACACATCTCTCTCTAGGGGTAGCTCACCAGTTTCACACATGTTTGTGGGCATGGAGCATAATGTGGATTATTAGATGTTAGACAGACTAGCTATGCTATTGTGACTATGACAGTGGCAGCAGTTCTTAAAGTCCAGACAAGCACCCGGTGAGTCCATCGCACAGTATTTTCATAGTGTGCAATGTGAATGTGATATCTCAGAATACATGTTGGTGAGAAAGGTCATGGCAGCCCTAGTTGACAGTGTCCTCAGAAGGGACCTCTACCAAAACTGGGAGAGGTACTTGAATGTGAATGTGTTATACAACAAGTGCCTTACATACAAGAGCACGAAGTGAGATGCTGATGTACATGAGTTCCACTCAGTGGCGGCATGTGGCAACTCTATCAGCTGTGAAATGGACGAGGGTGACGAGTCTTCCTTGCTGGACGTGTGTGGTGATGTGAACCAAAGGTCGCACAAATCGCACGACACATCCCCACGCAAGCCCGTCTACAGCTGCTGGTTTTGTAGATGGAGACACACCAAGAGAGAGATTTGTCCCACAAAGAATTTGGCATGCAGGGGATGTGGCAAGGTGGGCAACCTGGTTAGCTGTTGTAAAGGCAAGCGCAAAGGGCCCAGCAAGGGAGGCTATGCCACCATGTCGGGCACCGTGACAGTGGCTTCGGCGGGTGTGGCACCCCTGCCGTCCCTGCGAGTTGCGGTATCGATGTTATCTGGCGGGATGTCACACATCTTTGAGGTGGTGGCAGACACGGGTACACAAGTGACGGTGGTTGGACCTTTGCTCCTGAGGGCACTATGGGTACGAGTTTCGAGACTGAATATGCCGGGTAACGACATCAGGGGCATCAACAACTTGCCGGTAAAGTGCCAGGGCAGCTGTTGGTTCCGGATCAAGGAACATGGCAAATCAATTGAGGAGGAGGCTCGGATTGTGAATTCAGCGAAGAGGTTGTTCCTCTCCCTGGCAGTTTGCAGGGGGCTGGGCCTGGTCCTTGACTCCTACCTGTTGCCTGAACCAGTTGTGGCCACTGGCAGCGAGGTGGTCCCCGCAGCGTCCCAGGGCACATCGGTACCACCCAGACCCCCCAGCATACCCCTCCAGTTAGTTGAGGAAAATGTGCCACGTTTGGAGGAGTGGTTGTGTCGACACTTCTCGAACACTGTATTTAACACCACACACACCTCCTCCCTGGTGCACACCCACATGCTTGCCACACACCTGCGCTGGCCGTGAAGCAATGGGAGTTGGAAGTCAAGTGCCAACTCGACGAGGATGTGAGGAGGGGTGTGATCACCGTGGTGCCAATGGGCAAGGCGGTGGACTGGTGCGCCTGCATGGGCTTGGTGACCAAGAGAAACGGCCAGCCGAGGCATACAGTGGACAACCAACAGCTGAACAGGTGGTGCCGTAGAGAGATGCACCACACACACAGGTGCCCTTTGACGTGGCATCAGGAGTCCCTCAGCACAGCTACAAGTCGGTGGCGGATGCCTTCTGGGGATTCCACCAGGTGAGGCTGGACGTTGAGAGCAGTCGCCTCACCCCCTGAAGAGGCCAAAGTCCAAAAGGGTGTATTGGGACGAACACCTTGAGTAAATTTGAAGAAGCCAAGAATCCTACTGCTGTAGTGATGGGTGGTGTTTAGCTCTGTGCGGCAGCCACAGGCTGAGCGATGCCGAGGCAGGTTATGCGGTGGTGGAGGGTGAGGCTCTGGCAGTGGTGTGGTGCCTGCAAAAAGCCTGCCTCTTCCTGCTGGGGTGCCCAAATCTCTTGCTGGTGACGGACCACAAACCGCTGGTGAAGCTGTTTGGAGACAGGGCACTTAAAGATGGTCTTAACCTCCGGCTGTTCCAACTGAAAGAGAAGACACTACAACATCGCTTCACCATCGAATACGTCCCCGGGAAACGTAACAGTGGGGCACACACACTTGCGCTACCCCACGCTCACAGTGTCGCCAGACCAGGGGGACCTGGCCGGTGAGGAGGTGTTGGCTGATGCTATGGTGGCCGCTACGGTCGCGACGCTCGGTGACAGGGAGATCGCGATGGACCATGACATTGTTAAGGAAGCTGTGGATGGATACCAGGCCTACCAGCAGCTGCTGTGCCTTGTCAGGGCTGGGGATTGGCCTGAGAGCAGAGCGCGGGAGATAGAGTGTCTACGGTCATACTAACAAGTGAGGGACAGGCTAGCTGTCATGGAGGACCTTGTCACATACACTTTTGATAATAGCCATGTCAGGCCGGTCATCCCGGAGGCACTGAGGCACCGAGTGGCTGCCCACCTACACGCAGGACACCAGGGGCTAGACTCGATGCTGCGCCGGGCCAGGCAGACAGTGTACTGGCCTGGGATGGAGGCGGATGTGAAGTACTGCCAAGCATCCTGTCTCACATGCAAGACATTCCCTCGCATCCTCCGGAGCCGATAGTCCTCATGCCACCTCCTGAGTTCCCATTCCAACAGGCCATCATGGACCTGTTTCAGTTGGATGGGCGCACTTACCTGGCCTACGCAGACAGGTTAACAGGGTGGCTGGAAGTGGCGCACCTCCCCGGAAGTGCCACCTCGAGCGCAGTCATCGCCAGGCTGCTCACCTTCTTCAGGAGATGGGGTGCACTCAAGGAGATTGCACCAGACACCAGTACCAACCTGGACAGTGGAGAGATGGCAGCATTCTAC